TATTTCAGGATTTTCATTATATTATATATTGATTTTTATCACAGAATTATAGGATAAAGTTACATTGTAACTGATATGCCTTAGTAAACTTAATTTAACATCTTGCCCTCTCAGAACACTTACAAGAAGAAAATGACCTTCAGCAGTATTAAATTTAGGTCCAGTCAATAGTTCTCAAGAAGAGATTAAAAAAAAAAAAAAAAGTTTGAGCATCATCAGATCAAGTAAATGCCGAGTTCATCATCTTAATTTGGGACCACAGATCTCTCAACAGACAATAAACATGCATTATGAGCTAGTACATTTAGAGTGTTATGAAATAAAACACCTAATGTAACATCAAGTTGCACAGGCTGTATGACCTTATAAGACTCTTGCAAATTTCCTTAGAATTATCCAATTATCGTTTTTAAATGACTGAAAGGAAATACAGAAAAAAAGAAGACAGCTACTTTGTTAGGATAACAGGATAATGCCAATTTTGTTTTGTTTTGTGGTGCTGGAGATCTGAACCCAGGGCCTTGTGTATGCAAGGCAAACACTCTACCAACTGAGCTATATCTCCACTCCCTATGCCTGTTTTTATTAGTTCTATTGGTCTTGTTTGTAAATTCACTACTTCCATAATTACTTTCATCAGATGCATCTGAGAATCCACCCAGTTGATACAAATGGAGAACTATCTATAACCTAGCTACCTAAGGTGTGGTACTCTAAACAGCAATATCCAAGGCAGAATCTCAGGCCCTGTCTCTGACTCTGCATTCTAACAACCTCCCAGAGAAATCCTGTACTCATTAAAGATTGAGAAGCTCTGGTCAACAAAACCTAAAGCAGGGTTCTCGAGAGAGGAGTAAGGGGAACAATTTTGTCTGCTAGGACACATCTGACAGTATCTGGAGACATTTTTCAATGGGTGCCAGTGGAATTACAGGCACTTGTCACTGCCCCAGTTGGAAACCAATTTCATGGATAGAGACCAGGGATGATGCTAAACATCCCACAAGGCGCAGGATGCTCCTCTCCCCAAAATTTCAGAGGTTGAGAAACCATGACATAGAAGAAAAACAAGTCTGCCTATATATATCATTGACAATAAAAACACAAAATAACATCCAAAAGCTCAAGTTGTCCTTTTTGTAAGAATTCAAATAGGATTCATATTTTACTCCTATTTTTACTGGTAAAAAGCTATAGGCTATAATTCTACTTTAAAGAACATGAGGTTATTGAATAAAGAGAAACAATACCATGTTTCCTGAAATTTTGAACAAAACATTTAAACCAAAATTAAGTCATGACAGGAAAAATTCATTGAAAATAATCCTTTCCAAATATTGACATTATAAAATTATACTAATACTGTTGTAGACAAATTTCTAAACATTCAAGAACTATTCAAGTATTTAACAACTTTCATTGTCAACATGCTTATTTATTACTAAACTATCATCTGAAAGAATTTAGTTCCATTTTTTTGGCCTGAGCTTTTGTTACTTTATTGTTAGCCAATCAATTAATATTATCCAGAATTAGAGATGTAACTTAGTTGTACAACACACACATATACTAATGGTAAAAGTCTACTGGAATTTACCAAATACTCGTTAGTATATTTTTACATTGCTTTACAAACAAGTGTTCTCAACTGCTAATTATAAGTTATATGACTCTTAAGGAAGAAAAAATAATGCTATTAGAAGAAAAGGTTCTGAACTGAAATTGCTGTACTAAAACCATATTCTAATTATAAAAAATTACTTGATAGATCTAACTTGTAATTTTAGTTGGGGGGAAAAAACCCTCTACTCTTGACAACTGACTGAAAATCTCAAGAGTTCTATTAATAGTCTACTTTAATAAACTTGGGTACCTCTGTAACATATCAGGAAATTCACAAATAAGACCCTACCTTCCAATTGGCACAGTCTAGCTCACAAAGCATATTTAATAAGTGCTAGGAAATAATATATCTATTGGTACTAGAGACTGAACCTAGGGGTGCTTTACCACTGAGCTATATCCCCAGCCATTTTTATTTTGAGACAGGGTCTCGCCTTAGAGACTTGCTAAATTGCTGAAGCTGGCCTTGAACTTTCAATCCTCCTGCCTCAGCCTCCCAAGTCACTGAGAATACAGGCACTTGCCACTGCACCTGGTGAAAACCAAAATAATTTTAAATTTCAAATTAAACTATGTGAGAAGTGTATCCAAGGCCATACAAATAGATAACAAAAGCAGAACCAACCACTCTGAGTATTTGTTAGCTTTTGAAAATGTTAATGAAAGCGCCTCAACATAAGAAAAAAAATCTTTCATAGCTCTCATTTTCTATGAATTATTTTATTTTCCTTTGAATGAAGAACTCAGCCACTACATACACTAAAAATAAAGTTTCAACCATTTAAAAGGATAAGAAATATAACTGAGTATGACAATCTGATTTCCATAAATCACTATCCCAATCACAGCCAGATCAGTTTAAAAGACTTTCATTATCTTAATGTACTAGTAAATTATATTTTAATAGAGACAAAATTGCCTTCTGGGCCACTTTCCACAGCTCCATGACCTTCGATCAGCCAAACAGGTATAGCTGTGCCTGACTAGACATTCTCTTTGCCTGGGGATTGGCTCACAGAAAACCATAAGAAAGAGTTATTATTAGGAATAAAAGATGAGGGCTGGGGATGTGGCTCAAGTGGTAGCGCGCTCGCCTGGCATGCGTGCGGCCCGGGTTCGATCCTCAGCATCACGTACAAACAAAGATGTTGTGTCCGCCAAAAACTAAAAAAATAAATAAATATTAAAATTCTCTCTCTCTCTCTCTCTCTCTCTCTCTCTTTAAAAAAAAAGAATAAAAGATGAATATGAGAATAAAATTTAAACATAAAAGTAATTACAGTTGAAAGGACATAAAAAACACCTACTACCATCCTTTCATTTTAAAGAAGGTAAAATAAATCAGCAAGTCAAGTAATATGCCTAAGGAAAACAGCCAGTTAGCAGGTCTCATGGCTTCACGAAGTTCTTTCAGCCACTCCACATTCAAAGGCAGCTGTACACAAAAGCACATTAACATTTACGAGCAAATGTGCAATAATACCATCTATTCAATGTCACTACCTTCTTCAAGATGCTCAGTTACTAAGAGCATTCAGAACCTTAGAATTTTAGAACTGGAAGAGGGGATCTTTAATGACTCCCCACCCTAAAGTAAGGTAATATCCAGGGGGATATTACTGTTCTATTCATTCATTCCACAAACATTTACTAGTATCCTGTAATAAATTAGGCATTGAGGATATAAAGATAAACAGCATAACAATAACAGTTTTCAGAGCTCTTGTGGGACAGAGAAAAGAAAACATAGATGTAACACAAGAGATGGTTATTTAAAAAAACATATTCATTGACTGGGGGCAGAAAAAATGAAGTAATCAACTCTGGTTATAACACCAAACACCATTCATGAACAGAGATATAACTGTTTACACCACTGAATGCTTAACTTCAATCCTCTATATTAAAAGGTAAAAAACTTTAAAAGTTCCAGCTTCAATAGAAGGAGTGTACCATTTTCTACAGTGCCAAGCACTGTGTCTGGCCTGTGTGTCTGCATGTGTGTATCCTGAATATGACTCAGAGGTAAGCCATATTATCCTCATTTTTGTACTTATTTATTTTATTTCTTTATATATTTGTTTATTGGTACCAGGGATTGAACCCTGGGGTGCTTAACCACTGAGCCACATCCTCAGCCCTTTTTATATTTTATTTAAAGAGAGAGTCTCACTAAGTTTCTTAGGGCCTCCTGGAGTTGCTGGGGCTGGCTCCTCCTGCCTCAGCCTCCCAAGAGGCTGGGATTACAGGTGTACACCACACCGTTGGCCTCATTTTTCAAAGAAGGAAGGCAACTGCGGGAAGTTTGTCCCAAGACAGGATATACCAGAGCTATAATTTGAAACCAGGCTTGTCTGCCTCCAAAACCACACTCCTTTCTTCTCATTAAACTGTAACTGTCTCTGCACAGAATTTTGTTTAAATCACCCTCCACTGTATTTCTCTTCATTCTACAGAAAGCAATGCAGCCTGTAATAAGTGATTCTAGTCTTCAAAGTTTCTAATTTCTAAAATCGGAATTTACGGTTTAAAAAAAAAAATCAACGAAGGAAAGGCAAGAAATGGTTCTGATACTGTTTCCTCTATTTAAGAAACTCACTGTAGAAAATGAAATGCAGATAGCTCATTTCTACACTCATGTCTCGCTTAAAGGATTCTTACCTCCTCTATGTCTAGGTCACACCATAGATGCTCCATTAATGATAGCACTTTTCTTCAAGCTACTGAGAGGACTAGATCTAAAACTTTCTAAAGCACTTGAAATTTGAAGAAGTACTAAGCGTTTTCTTTTATTGTTTTGATTCCAGTTCAAAATATCTTGAAAAGCAGCAGAGTGAAAAAAAAAAAAAAAGTCATGCTCCAAAGGAGCTAATGAGGAGCCTAGGAAGCAAATGCAGGGAAGTCCGCTAACATTCTACAACAAGCACATTTCATCTCCTGGCAAAAGTGAACAAGTTCAGACGCTCTGGGAAGGGTGGAGGAGAAGCGGGCAGAGAATAGAAGCTACCGTCTCAATCCCTAGTATTAAACCCAGGGTCTCCACACCTCCACAAACCACGAAGGGAAAGCCCTGCGGGAAAACAAGGGTATCTTCTATTTAAAAAGTTGTATGAAGTGTATACTAAGCCGACCTGCAGTCTCCAATAACACAACCCGTGGAACAACAAAAATGGCCTTTTCTGTGCGTTTAAACAGATCTGGACATTAAATCTGAGACCTCACTTCAAATTCCCAGGAGAAAAAGATGCCCGGTCCCGGTAACACGGTTTTCGCGGCGCGCGGTCGCCTGGCCGCTCCGGGCACCGGCGCCGGGCTGCCCAGGCCACCCGCCGCCCGGCTCCCGGCGTCCGAGAGCAAGCGCCGCCGCCCACACTCACCTCCCGGCGCGCCGAGCCCCGCGCAGGCGGGACCCCAGCGCCCAGCCACCAGCTGAACAAGGAGGAGAAGGCGGAGCGCGCGGGGCCCCGACCCCCGCGCCGCCATCTTCCGGCCCCGCGTGGGAATGCCGCAGGCGACTAGCGACCCCTGAGCAGAGAACACCGACTCCTGGAGCGCGAGGAGTCGGAAAGAGGGAGGAAGACACAGCTGACCTGCCACTGGGCTCCTCAGCTCCAACCCGCGAAGCCCAACTCAGCTTCGCGGCTTTGAGAGGGCGGGGCACGCAGGAGGAGCTCTAGGGAGCTTAGCCCCGCCCAGGTCCCGCCCAGTATCCACCAGGCCCCGCCTCCAACCCAACCCCATTTGCTCCTAGCTCCGCCTTTTCCACACCTGGTCCGGCCTCTTCTTCCAGGCCCAGTCCCCAGGCCAGACTTCAGACTGTTGGACCCCCATCTGCCTCCTGTAGCTTTTGTGGGCGCCAACTGACCCCATCAGGAGACCTATGCTCTGGACAAGCAAGGCGACCCCTGGGCAAGTTACCCTCCTTTTCTGGGCCTGTTTGTCCTTAAAATGACGTGGATAAACTAGACAATTCGAAAGGACAGCTGCCACAACAGCTCTGACACTCATTTATACCATCCGTGAAAAGAAGACGCAATTGCTTCAAACATAGGCAATTCCTTTCGTGTTGCCATCAGTTAACACTTGTAAATATCGGTGACTTCATCTGCCACAGATTCTTAGCAACTCTGATGGCGATTGATGCTGACTGCTGGATTAGCGTCTCAAATCCCTGTAGACCTTATACTGCATCTCATTTCTTCCGTTCATAATTGATTAGAAAGCTTCATTTGGTTGAAGGGATTCAGGTGAATTATCTTTAAACTTCAGTGGCAGAGCGAGCCACTGACTTTTCACAGAAAATTATGGAGCTGACACCTCTAAAGAGTAGAAATTTCACTCCAAGCTTCAGATTCCGTAAATCTGTTAAAACCGAAACCTGGTTTTAAAGAATTCTCAACCGCAAGATTCAGTTAAGACTTTTTTCCCCCTAAGTCTAAGTACAACCAGGAAATGGAAACAATGTCCAACCAAGCCAGTTTGTTGAAGCAGGACTTAAAGGACGCCCAGAAAAAAGGATACATATGATGATAACCAGGTTAGTCATTAATTACACTTCTGCACAGGAATGAAAGACAGTATTTAATGTCTCTTGACTGCAATTTTATATTTTTCTCTGAATAATACATGGGGCTTATATACACTTAGGCAATTCATTCAAATAGCGTTTGGATGATTTCAAAGTGTTATTCTTCTTTTATAGCTAAGGGATTTGAAAGAGAAAAGGTAAATAACTGCTGAAGGTCACAGCTCCTCTCTGTGGCAAAAGTAGAATTCAATGGTTGTTAACTCAGCCAACAAGCATAATTGGAATTCCATTACCTACCCAGCGTGTGGTATCAATAACCATGAGAAAAAGCTATCTATATAACCTGTGAAAAGCACTATTAGTTGTTGTTATTGTTTTAAAGTAAAAGGCATAGTGTATAATTTCTTGGGCACTTTAAATTTGTAGCACATAATCACAGAATATAATGTATGCATCTTGGATGTGTTTTCCCCACTGGGACATGCCAATTACTTGTGGTTGCTGGAAGTGGTGGCTGCATCTGACTCTGGTAACAGGCATCTTCACACTGCTAGGAAACACTGGCTGATCAAATGACCATGCAAATGACCATGTTGCAGCTGACTCCTACAAAGTTCCCCTGAAGGAACATCTGCCTACCAACTTTCTGAGCTTTAACCAAATGAACTGTCATACAGTTTATATAATGTACCTGCATCCCACACACCATATTTTTCTCTGAAGATTGTGGATTTTATTTATTTATTTATTTATTTAGGTGTTGGAGATGGAACCTAGAGCCTCATGCATATCAGGCAAGTGTTCTAGTACTGAGCTACATTCCCAGCCCAAGTCTGAACTCTTAAACATAGTTTATACTGATCTCTCCCTAGAATGTGACATTCTTACTACCCTTTCCTATCTTCACTCAGCCTGCTCTCTTCCCCTTCTTTGAACATCCAAACCCACCCCTTCAAGGCCCATTTCAAATACCACTTGTCTTCTTTTTGTATATATCTTTTATATCTTATGTCCTCTACTAGATAATGAGCTCCACAGCCTATGGTCTATTTTATTCAATTTTATCATACACTAGCCAGTCAGTACTTTGCCACAGAAAGTCCAATTTAATAATTATCATTAATCCCACTAAGTAATGGGGAATGTAATAAGTGTAGCACTTTTTAATATACTAGCTCATTTAATCTCAAGCAATAGTACTAGAGAGGAACTTTTATTTCATTTTAGTTTGTTTTGTTTTGGTCAACTCCTTTTCAATTCTCCTGGCAATTTCCTCCTCTTCCATTCAGACTCTGCTTTTTACAAATTCCACAGTCCCATATCACTGCTCCTTCCCTTTTGCACACTAAATTCTAGCTATTCCAGCCCCTTGAGTCCTGCAGGCCTGCCCAAGGGTCTTCACCTCCACTGTTCCCTCTGCCTGAGCTATTCTCCCCCATCCTCCTCCTCCCTGCTTTGCCTAATTCCTACTCCTGTTTCAGTGCTACCTGTTATGTCTTGAGAGACAAACCAATCTATCTAAGGTGGACCCTCATTCCCTCTATCACTGCCTATTCCTTCCTGTCACCATATTTGTCACAATTTGTAATTCTATTCTTTTAGTGTGTTAGGTGTCTGATTCCCCCCATAGATAACTAGCTCCAGATAGGCAGCAGCTGTGCCTGTTTTATTCACGGGTGTATGCCCAGTATATTGAGCACATGCCAGCTGCTCAAAATGTTTCTTGGGAGAATAACTGCATGCTAACTAGTTTGCCCAAGACCTCAGACTAGTAAACTAGAAAGTGGTGAGTATAGATTCAAACCCAGGTGAACTGACTTCAAAGATCTCACCATTTGCTAAACTAAACTTAGTCTCTCTCATTCCTCATCTTTAAAATGGTGACTTATAACCTGCCTGGCAGGAGATACAGTTTGTACACAAAGTTTGCACAGTGCCCAAGAGTTTAATGCATGGTAGCTATTATTATTATTTGTGTGACAATTATTCTCTGATGTGTTTTCCCACCTACAAAAGCCCTAAACAAAGGGCAATTGGTGCTTTGGAGTTAAAAGAGTGCATGGAAGGGGAATTATTGGGTCAAAAAAAATAGCAGGAATCAAAAATAAACATTGTCATCTGCAAGTGGTATGGCCTAATGAATCGCCTTGTATATAGATGTTGCTGCTGGCTTTTCTTTTTTATAATGGGGTCAACTGAGCTAAATTCAGAGCTAGGCAGCTTCTCCAAATCTTCCATTCATCACTTCCATCATGGATTGGTGATAAATTCTGCTGTGAGTCTTTTAAGATGAAAGCCAAAACTGAAAGTTAATTAAAGATAAAAATGGATGCTGTCAACTTTAGTGACAAAATTGAAAACATTTTTATAGGTTGGAAAAAAAATCAAGTATTGATAGGATATTAAAATTCAATACTTCAAAATAAATTATATAAAATGAATAAGTCCTTTTCAAGGGCTATTTCAATGGCTACAATCAAAATATAAAAATTCAGATATATATTTTACATAGAGAGCTTTAAGAAAGAAAATTGTTACAATATTTTATTAGATTGTAATAACTAAATACTGCATAAAATCAAATATCACAAAAACATTAACACATTCAAAACTCAGCTATCCCAATAAAATTTAATAATAGTATGCATACCACAATGTCACAGACTTGATTACCAATAGATAACAAAAGTGAGGGCTGGGGATGTGGCTTTTAGTGCTTGCCTAGCATGCATGAGGTCTTGGGTTCGACCCTCAGAACAAGAAAAGAAAAAAATTGAAATCTTTAAAAAACAAAAGTTAACAAAGAAATGACAGTTCAGTTACTGTACAGTAAATTATAATATATCTTGGACAAATATCAGCAATTATTAAAAATAAAGATATTATTTCCACCTTAGAAAAGTGTGATACAAACCCCCATGTCCTCTAATGTTGCAAGTTTTTAAATCTGGGAGTGAGGAATCACATCGTGAAAATTGTTTTCCTTTTATGCCAAATCCAGATTTGTGTAGATAAAGCCCTTCCGTGGATTTGCAATTACAGTCATGCATCACTTAATAAGTATGTGATGAGAAGTATGCCATTAGATGATTTCTTCCTTGTGTGAAGATCATAGAGGATTGATACTTACACAAACTAAGACAGCTATATTAATATTAATATATTATATAATAATATTAATATAATTAATATTAATATTATATATTAAGACTAAGCAATAGGATCACCATCATATATGCAGTCCATTGCTGACTGCAATGTTTTTATGAAGCACATGCATATATGAGCAAAGCTCAACATTCATATACTTAATAAAGACAACTTATTAGGAATATGGACATATTATTGAGTTAAGTGGTCTGTTCTCCATAGATGATAGATAATAGGATATTCTCCGTATCATATTGTAAATTTAACAAGAAACTTAGTCCTTTATTTTAATTTCTATAAGATACAATTATAAATATTTAATTCTGTGCAAAGACAGAATATAAGAATTCTTACCAAATATATATCTCCCTCAGATATATTCTGGATATGAGAGGTATTTGTAGACACCACTTCATATACCAAAAATAAGTCCAAAGTACAAATTATACTGCAGGTAGAGACCACAAATAGTGCAGGTCTTCCTGCTACAGAACCACCATCTTAGAATTCCTTGATTGCCAATTCAATTGTTTAAGGATTGTTTCTATTTCAATTAAGGGCTATTATGAAATTCTGATTTTCAAGAGTATGAAACAATCAAAATTTTATTCCCATGTGTAATTTGTAAACTACCATATTAATAACACTTTTAGGGAAGTGATGAGAATAAATAAAACCAAAATGGAGCTGCCTCTCTGAAATGGGTTGGAATCTCTGCTCTAATTATTCACTTCTCTAATTTATTTAGCAAGGGTTTACTTTCTCATCTAGCTTCATTTCCCATGGAGGACTAATTGACATCAGTATTTCTATATGGATAAAAAACAAGATGAGCAATCTCTTAGCAGTTCAAAAAAAAAAAAAAACTCAATACAAGGTCAGAGTAATGTATGGCATTGACTGTTCCAGAGAA